TGCTTAGAGAAGGCAATGTAATCTTGTGTCAGTAAAACTTCTCTCTTTAAAGGTTCCTCTTAACTCTTGTAGTTTGGGGCTAGTATGGTTTCTGGGTCAATTTTATCCCATCTGTTTTCAATCTCTTAGGACTTTCTTATACTTTCTGGTCTGCTGCTTGTGCCTTTTTTTGTTTGCAAAGGTTTTGATAATTTGTCATTTCAGTAGGCCCTTAGGATGAAAAGATACAGATGTGTGTTCGCTCTACTATATTAAACCAGAAGCATCTGAGTTTTGTTTTTAGAAGGTTGGGTTATTTTTATCTCTCTAATGAGATTTCACTTCTATTTAAAGTATTCTATGAGTACATAACATTTTTAAAGTTTATTAGACACATATAGAGTATGCTATATGCTAGGCTATAGCTAAAATAATACTATTGTAAGTATCAATCCACTTAATCTATTAAATCCTTATAATCCCATATAAGATATTATTCCTGTTTTATAGATGAGGAAGTTGAGCCACAGAGAAGCTAAGTAACTCACTAGGTTACACAGCTGGTAAGTGATAGAGCCTGCATGCAGACTCAAGCACCCTGACCTTAGCTCTCACGATCGTAACCATTTTATTTTGACTGCCTCTTATATGCCATTCTTCCTGTCTGGAATGCTTTTTATTTTTACATTTCCCTTGCTTTCTTTAGAGTCCAACATGTGACACCTCCATTCATTTAACATACATATTAGATGAATGTCCACCCTGGACCAGACACTGCTTTAAATATTTGTGATACAGCAATGAGCAAAACAGAGTGCCTGCTCTTATGGATTTTACATTTAGTTGGGGGAGACATAAAATATGTATAATTTATATATGCTGGCAGTGTATTTTCTCTGAAGAATAAAAAAAAAATAACTAGCTTCAGATACTAAAGTAGACTAATTTCCAAAACAAGGATTATAGTTTTCATTAGCTGGTCTTTTAAAGATGTGATGGACTATTTGAATCCATTATGTTTTAGTAAAAAAAAAATAAATAACATCTGACAATAACTACTGGGGAAAGTGATGTCTCAGATTAGCATGAAGGAGATTTATTTATACAGGAGGGCCCCTGGAATCGACAGCTATGGAAGAAAAGGGAAGGGAAGGAAGCGAGCTTCGGTAGAAAAGAACCAAGGGGCCTGAAGTCTCAACAGAAGCCTCAGTTGACCCTTCAGCGAGTGAGTTCTGAAGAGGAGTTTACACTTCAGAGCTTTCTCGAATCACATCTAGGACCTTTATACCCCCACACTGAATTAGTCATTGGTTGTGGGCTGTTTCTAGGAAGGGTGTGATCATATTGCAAAGAGTGAAATCTCTGAAGGAGGCTGACAGGTGGGGATTGTCTACTGGTGATACTCCCAGCAGCTGGTATAATAAATGCTCCATTGCTATTGGGTGATTCTGGGGGTGGGTAGGGAGGGGAAAGGTGAGATTAAACATCCACCACTGGGCCCTGGCCGGTTTGGCTCAGCGGTTAGAGTGTCGGCCAGTGGACCAGGTTAGGGTTGTGTGGGTGGCAACCGGTCGATGTGTCTCTCTCACATTGATGTTTCTCTCTCTCTCTCTCTCTTCCCCCCTCTCTCTCCCTCGCTATATCTGAAGATAAATGCAAAAAATGTCCTTGGATGAGGAAAAAAAAAAGCATCCACCACGAGAATCATTAGATTTGGATTTGAATTCATATTCTGTGAGATGCTAGCAGATATTATAGAGTTGAGTATTTTGCTTTTTAAGTTGGTAAAATAGGGTTAGTATGTCTAGTTTGATGGTTATTTTGAAGGTTATATAAGATAAAGTTTGTTTAAACACCTGGAACATACTAAGTATTCTATAAATGTTTATAGGCAAAAGAAACATAAACAATGATATTCCCTTGTCATAAGTGCATTTTCTGGAAGATGTGTTTCTCCTAGAAAGTATTTCTTCTATATTTAGTTAAGAAATATTTGAGTCCTGCTCTGGCCGGTTTGGCTCAGCGGTTAGAGCGTCGGCCTGTGGTCCTGAGAGACCCGGGTTCGGTTCCCGCTAAGGGCATGTACCTTGGTTGCAGTTTGTCCCCGGCCCTGGTCGGTCGTGCAGGTGGCAGCCACTCAATGTGTCCCTTCACATCGATGTTTCTCTCTTTCTCTCTGTTCCTCTCTCTCCCTCCCACTCTACCTGAACAAAAAATGGAAAAATGTCCTCAGGTGAGGATAAAAAATAAAAATAAAAAAATAAAATATTTGAGTCCTAATTATGTTAATAGTTATGTGAATATATTAAAAAGTTCGAAATTTTTGTCTTCCAGTTGTTTACAATTTAGTTGAGGATGTATTATCAGTATATAATGAGTTAAATAACAAAAGGTGGAACATAAGATACATGTTGAACAGGTTTAGAAGTATAGACCATTGGGCTTGTTCGGTTGAAAAAGGTTTAATGGCTGCTTTTTTTTTTTTTTTTTGTACAGTTTATAGTTCAGTTAGTATACCAGTATTAATTTTAGTTTTGATGATTGTTCTATGGTTATGTGAAATATACCATTAGAGGAAGCCAGGTGAATGGTGTACAATAATTCTCTGTACTATATTGGTAACTTATGTAAACCTAAAATCATTTCAAAATAAAAACGTTTAAATCTGCTATATGAAAAAAAAACAAAGAAAAAGGTTTAATGGAAGAGGATGTTGAAGTGCCTGTTAAGATTAATCCCCACCTGAATGCAGACTGGTGCAGCCACTATGGAAAACAATATGGTGTTACCTCAAAAAATTAAAAATTGAACTTCCATTTGACCCAGTGATCCCACTTCTAGGAATATACCCTAAGAAGCCTGAAACACCAATCAGAAAGAATATATGTGCCCCTATGTTCATAGCAGCGCTATTTACAATAACTAAGATCTGGAAACAGCCCAAGTGTCCATCAGTAGACGAATGGATAAAAAAGCTGTGGTACATATACACAACGGAGGAAAGGAAAGGAAAGGAAAGGGGAAGGGGAAGGGGAAAGGGAAGGGAAGGGAAGGGAAGGGAAGGGAAGGGAAGGGAAGGGAAGGGAAGGGAAGGGAAGGGAAAGGAGGGAGAAGGAAGGAAGGAAGATAGATGAGGCAGGGTGTAAGGAATATCTTGTGATTGAAGACAAAGGAGACTTAAGTGTTCAGAATATAGTAGAAGAGAGCAGGGAAGCATACTGTTATGAAAACTAAGGCAAGAGGGTTCTAAGAGGCAGGGGCAGAAAACCATGAGATACTTAGGAAGAGAATGATTATCAAGAAAGGCCATTCAATTTCTATGCTTGGCTCTCTGCTTACCTTCAACAGCCCCTAAGACTGCAGTTTTAACTTTCTGCAGGTGACTAAAAATTTTAATTCCTTATTTCCTACTCTATGTTCCAAGTACCTGTGTTTGTTCACAGTTCCTAACACAGTGTCATTTCCTAAGTTTCTTCAAAAAATATTTATCGAGTAACTATTCCGTGTTAGGCATTATGTTGGCCACTAGGAAGATAATGAATTTTCACCAAGCTTACATTCTAGCTGGGGTAGGTGGTAGACTCTAAACATTGATTTATCTGCCTGGTGGTAGAAGAGGAAACTAGGGTCAGTTCACACAGGACCTTGTAGACCACTAGGGACTTTGGATTTTACTCTGCATGAGAGACAAAAGGCATTGGAAAAGTTTTAGACAGAGGAAGGACATGAACTATGTTAACTTTGTAAACTCTTAGAACAGAGTGTGACACAGAGATTGTTATATAAGTGTTCAATTGGAGTTCCTTCTATTTAATTTACCTCTGGAAGGAAGGCTGGATGGCTACTATGTGATTAATTATGTGGAGGCTTCTCAGAGCTCCTGGGAGGAAACCCCAGGCTTCTGCTCTAACACATTTTGTTACATTTTAAGTTTTATAATGAATAGCTGCTAGGTGGACTTACTGTTGCTTACACATTTATGTCCTTATATTTTTTGGGTATCTACCTGAAAGCATGAATCATTTAAAAACCAATTTAGCACCTGGTCATTGTGGCTCCTTGGATTGAGTGTCATCCCATGGACTGAGAGGTCCTGGTTAGATTCCCATTCAGGGCACATGCCTGGGTTGCAGGCTCAATCCCCAGTAGGGCGCATGCAGGAGGCAGCCAATCGATGTTTCTATCTCTCTCTCCCTTCCTCTCTCTCAAAAAAAACCACTAAAGACATATTTTAAGCCCTGGCTGGTTTTGCTCAGTGGTTAGAGCGTGGGCCTGCGGACTAGTGAGTCTCAGGTTCAGTTCTGGTCAAGGGCATGTTCCTTGGTTGTGGTTCATCCCTGGGGTGGAAGGGGAGACAGCCAGTCGATTTGTCCCTCTCACATTGATGTTTCTCTCTCTTCCTCCTTCCCACTCTATCTGATGATAAATAGGAAAAAAAAAATGTCCTTTGGTGAGTATTGAAAAAAAAATTTTTTTTTTTTAAACCAATTTTGACATTCGGGAATTTTGTGGAAAAAAGGTGAACATGAAGGTGTGAGATCTAAAAATAATGCCATAGAAAGAAAGGTTGACAGTCTCATGGGTGGTTAATCTGTCAAAGATAGGGTTGAGGAAGAGGACATGACAGATCTTTGTCACATTATGGAAGGGCCATCTCCTGGACAAAGGATAGACTTTTGGGGAAGGGGGGATCTGGGACTAGTGATTGGAACAGTTTTCTGTTAAACATAAGGCAGAAGTTATTCATCTATGGAGTACAATACCTAATAAAAGAGTGATCTTCTGATAACGAGTGTTAATGCAAAGGTGGGACTGCTATGTGTTAGAGCTGTTAGTTGGAGACTGAATTAAGATTTCTTACCTATTTAATTTTTATATTACAGAGATAGTTTACTGGAAGAAATATATGTTGATGCACACACAAAACAGCTGAAGTCCTTCAGACTGTCAGGCATTCAGTAACGTGTAGAGCATTATTCATTGTAATCATTGTGAAACTGAAAACTCCCTTTCTTTTTCAGGGATATCATGATAACACATTTTGAGCCTTCCATCTCCTTTGAGGGCCTTTGCAGTGAGGTTCGAGACATGTGTTCTTTTGACAATGAACAGCTTTTCACCATGAAATGGATTGATGAGGAAGGTGAGTGGTAAAGAGAGCATTAAGAATAAGCATCTGCTTTAAGATATTATTCTTTCATTTGTTTTAAAAATATAATAAAAGTCCTAATTAATTTTGGGGCAGTTTTGTTGTTATTGTTATTAATCCTCACTCAAGGATATTTTTCCATTGATTTTTATTATTATTTTTAATTCTCACTTGAGTGTATTTTTACATTTATCTTCAGACAGAGTGTGGGGGGAGGGGGGGAGAGAGAGAGAGGAGAGGAGAGAGAAACATCTGTGTGAGAGAGACACATTGACTGGTTGCCACCTGTACGACCCCAACCAGGGCCAGGGAGGAACCGCAACCAAGGTACGTGCCCTTGGCCGCAATCGAACCTGGGACTCTTTGGTTTGTAGGCCGATGCTCTAACCACTGAGAAAACTGGCCAGGGCTTCCATTGATTTTTAGATAGAGTGCAAGGGAAGGAGGGAGAAAGAGAGAAGGAGAGAGAGAAATCGATGTGAGAGAGACACATCACTTGATTGCTTTCCACACAACCCCAAATGGAATCAGGGATCAAACCTGCAACCCAGGTACTTGCCCTTGACCGGGAATTAAACCCAAGACCCTTTGGTCTGTGAGCTGATGCTCTAACTGCTGACCAAGCCTGCCACGGCAAAAGTTCTAATTAATTTAAAGGGAGGAAAGTATGCTAGAAATTTAATGCCATTCTTAAATTAGTGTGACTTTTTTCCAGCAATAAGGTAATCATCTCATCAAATAGTATTACATTTTACTTTAATTTTGAATATATATTGTCTTATATTTTAAGAGACCTTTACTAATTTGACAGTATTTTTCACTGAATATTACTTTAAAGAAAATGTTATGGAATAAAAGTGATTGTGACAAACATTATTTCAAAGATGATAGAAACTCCCTACCTTAGTGACTTGTACTCGGAAAGCATTTATTGAATATCTGTGTGCCGAGGATAGGTGTTTTCTATCCTCAGGCTCACAGTCTCACAGGGAGATGGACATGTCAATAACAAATGTGGTAAATTAAACAGAAATGCATGGGGGCCTTGGAATACAAAAGAAGCAGCATCTACATACGCCTGAAGTCTCTGATGTTTGAACTAAACTGTAACAGAGTAAAAGTTTTTGAAGCGGAGCAGGTGAGGGGAAAACCATGTACAATGAAGAATAAGATATAAAAAAGCATAGAGGTATGAAGAACGTGGTATGTGGGGAAGAGTAGTGATTCACTAAATCTAAAGTGTGGGAAGTGGTGAGGTGTGAATTTGAGCTAGATCCTTGCTACTCAAAGTGTGGTCTGTGGAACTTACTAGAAAAGGAATCTCAGGCCCTATTACAGACCACTGACTCAGAATCTTTATTTGAACCAGATCTACAGATGAGTTGCATGAACATTAAAGATTGAGAAGCATGGATCCCTGAAGGCTTTGCAAGCCACACTAGACTTTATTTTATTTTATTTTTATCCTCACTGGAGGACATTTTTCCATTTTTTGTTCAGGTAGAGTGGGAGGGAGAGAGAGGAACAGAGAGAGAGAGAGAGAGAAACATTGACGTGAAAGGAACACATCGAGTGGCTGCCACCCGCACAACCAACCAGGGCTGGGGACAAACTGCAACCGAGGTACATGCCCTTTAGCGGGAACCGAACCCGGGTCTCTCAGGACCGCAGGCCGACGCTCTAACCGCTGAGCCAAACCGGCCAGGGCTAGACTTTATTTTACATGATGGAATGTCACTGAAGTGTAGTTAAAAGATACCCTAAATATACTAGTTTGTATAATGGTTTTCTATTAATTATAATATCAGTGGACTTTTATTTTAAGGAATGTCAATATTTAGGTCAATATTTGGGGCCATTTTTTTGTTCCCTGATGTGAAGAGCCCTGGAAAGGTATTATCCTAGCTCCAAGCTATAGTTAAGTTCAAATCTATTTTCTTTTTAAATCCTCACCCGAGGATATTTTTCTGTTTATTCAGATAAAGTGGGAGAGAGGGAGGGAGAGAGAAACATTTACGTGAGAGGACACATCGACTGGTTGCCTCCTGCACAACCCAACCAGGGCCAGGATGAACCGCAGCCGAGGTACATGCCCTTGACTGGAATTGAACCCGTGAGTCATTGGTCTGTGGGCCGACGTCACTGACCGCTAAGCCAGACTGGCCAGGGCCATATTCATTTTTTAAAGATATTTTTAAAGTTTCTCTAAAGTAATCTATATTCACTGTTTGGGAGAAAAAAACTAGTACAGATGTTAATGAAATATAAACATCTTTGTCCTTTTGCTTCTCTCCTCATCAATCTTAGTCCTAAAAAAGGAAACCACTGATAACAGTTTACTATATATCCCTCTAGATATTTTTATCCCTCTAGATATTTTTAACACATATACAAATATGCTTTTTTATGCATTATTGATAAGTACACCATTTTAAACAAAAATTATATACAAATCATTAAGCAATATTTTACTTTTACATTGTGTATTGGACATTTTTTCATTTCACTGTGCAATTTACATCATTGCCTTTTTTAACGCTGCATAGTATTCCATAGTGTAGATATTTCATGATTGATTTATTAATCTCGTATTGATGGATATGTGAACTATTTCCACTACTATGAGTGGTATATAGTGAACATTTTTATATGCAATTTTGTGCTATCGTATGGGACTCTCTAGCAAATTTGCAGAATATGCACATCATAAATTTCATAGCTAATGACAATTTGCTGTCAAAAAGATTAAACCAATTTATGGCACAACTACATTGAATGATAGCATCCCTTCACTATTGCCCTCACCATCCTCAGATATTATGAGTCCTTGACATTTTTTGAAATCTAATAAATGAAATACTAACTTGGTATTTTAAATTTTGTATTATTTAAGAGTAAAACTGAATACCTTTATCTTTTCAACCACTTTTTGACTTATTCTATCACAAGATTAGTTTAAATACTGTTAATTATAAATGGTATGGATATCGTACAGTATGTCTTCAGCCTAAAAATGAGACTATAATTTAACATAGTGCCTAGAATATAGTTAGCATCCATAAACTGAATCTTACCATGAACCAATGTTATTTTCATTTTAATCCTGTTCTTATCATTTCATGCTATTTATTTGCCATTTAGAGGTTTTTCAGTCAGTGGTTTTCAAATTGTAGTGCACATAGGAATCACTAGATAATGATTTTATTTAAAAAATTAATTTAGAGACAATCCATTACATGTCTTATAGTACCCTTATACTTTGTATTAGCTTTGCCTGGAGAGTTCTGTTCCTGGACTGTCTCATGGCTTTCTCTTGCCATTCAGGTCTTAACTCAAATGTCATGTCCTCCAAGAAGCCTTTTACCCCTATTCACGTTGCATCTTATTTGTGTGGTAGAATATAAGCTTCATGAGGACAGAGATCATATGTTTCACTGTGGAACTAGAGCAGTACTCAGTAATAGTATGCATACACAAAATTGTGAATTGTATGAAAGGTTAATATCAGGCCTTTCCACAGTGTAATGTTATGTCTATTATTGGAGATTTAAGCATTGGGGGTAGTGGTGTATTCTGTTTTTTGTTAACAATAGCATATTGTAATTCACAGATTCACATAGTAAATTAAATTAATTATCTAATGAAATAGTCTTATCCTTTTATAATACAACTCATAGTTTTTCTCTCTAAATAGCTATTAAGTAGCCTAATTTTCTAGGGAAAACAAAACTGTATCCTTTGCCTCATTCAAATAAAAGATTAAACTTTCCACTAAGGTCTGTTGATTCCCTTCTTACCCTGGTTAATTCTGATACCAGTATTTTCTTCATTTTAGGCATACAGAGAGCCAGTAGTAATTATTTTTAAGTTCCTTGCAATTATTTTTCAGTTGTAATTTTGTCACCTTTGGTTTTAGCCACATAGGCATTGGGACATGCTTGTCTGGAGAAAAAATTTTCCCTAGGATCAGTGGAAGACTGAACTGTACTTTTACTTCTCTGATTTATGAGAAAGAGTGGTCTAGAAGCTGAACTTTTAATTGTGAGATTTTGTATTACAGCATATCAAGATCATATGCTTACTTCATTCCTTTAAATAGATTTATGGCAACCGCCCTTTTTCCTTGTGTTCAAAACCAGTTTTACTGATTTGTTTTGATGTACATGTGGAAAAACTGGTTTGCTTAACGTAACTAAAGATTTTAGAATGAATAGTAATTTTGTAACAACCATACTGCCCTTTCTCATTTGCTGTGAGGGTATGAGGAAGAGAATGGTAAATGTGACTTTTTAGTTCATCATATTTTAATTGTGGCCATTTTTCCTTAAGGATATACTTTTTATATTTACAACCTAATAGTATTTTCTAAATTTCCAATTTATTCAGGGTTGGAGTACCTGGTTTAAATTTCACTGTGTTTCTTTTCTGTCCTTTCTCTTTTACTAGAAAGTAACCTTTGGATATTAAAGTTTTTATTAAGGATATTGCATGCTTTTTACAAAAACATTGATTTATGTGAAGGAAAAAATATCTCTGGGAATTCTCAGACCCCCAGAAAGAAGTAGCTCCTATAAAATTTTTTATACAGTTAGAAGGGACATGGTAACAGTTTTTTATCTTTCTTACAAATAGACTGATATGTACAAACTATTCTTTACCCTGCTTTTTTACTTAAAGTCTTGTTGATATTTTTTCATATTAGTGCATGGAGATTTATCTTGTTCCTCTTAAAATGTTGTGTGGTATTACTATAACATGGTTGTACCCTAATTTATTTAACCAATTTCCTTTTGATGGGTATTTGGATTGTTTGTAATTTAACTATCAAAAATATTGGTGTAGTCACCCTGGTCGGTTTGGCTCAGCGGTTAGAGCGTCGGCCTGCGGTCCTGAGGGACCCGGGTTCGGTTCCCGCTGAGGGCACGTACCTCGGTTGCAGTTTGTCCCCGGCCCTGGTCAGTTGTGCGGGTGGCAGCCACTCGATGTGTTCCTTT